CCCCCCCATTCCAAAAAACAAAGAAAAACTCATCGCTATTTCTACTTCTCCTCCTGCTGTTTAGATTTTGGCATCAGGTTCCCCGTGTGGCCCAACAATTCGAGCGAAATCTGGGAAACAAGTATCCCCAACACAAATGTAGCAGTACAAGACTGGTGAGATTTACTAGACCGATGAAACGCCCCCAGCCAACTCAAAATCACGTCGAGTTATGAGCTCACATTCCTAATTATATATATATGTATATATATTTTAGGTATGGTATTGGATCGTGTTTATCGATATCGAAAAAATCCACATTGGCATGTGTGTCTTTATGTGGGGCAGTACACGAGCCATTGAGAAGCACAAGCTCGCCGATACCGACGACGAGTCTGGGGATGAAAGGCGGGCTGTCGGGGAGAGCGAAAGGGAGTGTTTCGTCGCAAGAGACGGGGCGGGAGGAGAATGGGTCGAGGCAGATGAGTCCAGAAGATGTGCCCCCGCGAACATGGGTCATCACCTTTCTCTCCGCGAGCTCGCTCTTCCTCGGCTTCCCGAACATCTGCGCCCGAGGCATAGGCCTCCCTGCGCGTGGGCTCGGCATCGAAGGCATCAACTCACGCGTCACTAGATGGCTCGTTTCCCGTAGAGATCATCCGCATCATTCCCCGCAAACTCCCAACAATCCCCCGAGTGGTGGTAGCACGGCCATCAAGGGCGTCGTCTGCTTGATCGACTTTTATCAATACCCCAAACACGCCTTGGTTTCCTTACTTGTTGACTCTAACTTTCCCTCCTAACCCCCCCGTCACGCCCTTTTCTCTCGTGTCTAGAAACTAGTACTTTTCTTTCCACATCTCCACTACAACTTAAATATGCTGGCTTTTTTTTTTATGCCTCTCTCGTCAAGATGTATAATCCACGTGCCCATTTTTTTCTAGATATTCATTCTTGCCCTGTACATACGCATCAAGACTTAGCCTAATATATCAATAATATTACCCTTGCGACCCAAATTGCATCCGGTCCATGCCATGGCGAGGACATGCCGTCAGAAGAAAAGCGCCCCTTCGCGTGCTTTGCATTGCGATTATCCTGACCTGGATCAAAACAAACAAGTCAAGAGAAAGAAGAGATAATGAGTGTGGGTTGATGATGATGATGATGGATGGCCGCTGAGAACAAAAAAACATCGCAGCACGCCGACAGCGCGATGTCCGTGGCTCAAAATCACAAGTACTCGGATAGCGTGCAGGCCACATGAGCCAACAAAGCCCGAGTGCACCCCCGCAAGAATACCAAAAACACACACGAAAGAAGGTGCGAGATTTCCGCCTTATGTCTGTTTGACCACCCCTCTCGAACAGAGAGCCAGGCCTCAAAAGTTGAAACCTGGAACTGGGGTTTGAACCCAGGTTACCAGGAGATCATCCCTCCCACGTCGGCGCATGAGAGTGTCAGAACCTGGTGTCCTAACCGCTAGACGATTCCAGGGTTGAGCCGTAGCCACTTTATCAGAGATATGAACTCTCTTTCGGCAAAAAGGCCTCTCGACATCCATCCCGCTTATAAAACTATTCAACAACGCCAGACCCATCTTTGCCGCCCCACCAGCTCCTCTCAATGTTAAGTTTTCGTGCGGCCTCCTTACACACACACACCTCTTCAGTCATCATCATCATCATGCCCTTCTCCTCGTCGTGTCGTTAAGGAAAAAAACATTTGTCTCGATCTGATCCGGGTATTGAAATGACACATCAAAGAACAAGAAAAAGAAAAGTAGAAAAGAAAACAAAGGGTATATATGTATAAGAGACACAGAGAAGAGAGAAAAAGACAGTTTTTAAAAAGTAAATCAAAAGAAAGAAACAAGACAAGACAAGCGAGAAAGAAAGAAAAACAATCCAATAAGAGAAGGAAAGAGAGATCAAGCGCACCAAGATCTGGCATCGAGGAAGATTTGAAACCAAGGGAAGAAAGGATGAGGAAGAGGGCTGGTCGGAGAGGGGAGGGAAGAGGAGAGGCAGGGAATGGAAAGGGAATTGATATTGCGTTCAGGGTGGGGCATGAGCGCGAGGATTCTACCGTTAGCGGCATGGAAGCCGGTGATGCCGGCGTGGGAGCCGTTGGGGTTATGAGGGTAAGAAGCGGTGGGTCGCAAGTCGCGGCGATCGATGTACTGCATGGCGGCCAAGAACCCGGGTGGGGGAACTTGCTGGTGAGGCGGGAGATGCTCGAAAGAGATGCGTCCCTCGCCATGTGAGACCGAGATGGGCAACTTCGATCCCTGCAAACTCCGAAGAAATACCGACCGCGAATTCAGCTCGTTTTCTTCCACTTGCACCATCGCCATCCGCGCCTCAAACCGCTGGCTCTTGTTCTTCTTCATCCTAGGCCAGCTGCGAGAGATCCTCACCGCCCGCCCCGACACATGATTGTCCGGCAGGATCGCCGCAAGATTCGTCAGCATCTGGCAGCCGTTACACACCCCTAACGTGAAGCTATCTGGACGCTCGAAGAACGCTTGAAACTGGGCCCTCGTTGCTTCGTGCAACAGAATCGACTGCGCCCATCCATTCCCCGAGCCCAGCACATCCCCATAGCTGAACCCACCGACGGCCACCATCCCTCTGAATTGATCCAACGAGATCTCGTCCTTCATAATGTCCGACATATGCACGTCGATGGCATTGAAGCCTGCCTGAGTGAACGCGAAGGCCATCTCGAGATGTCCATTGACACCCTGATCACGCAAGATCGCCACCTTGGGTCGGTCATTCAGGGGGCTTTTAGAGGGCCGCAACTCCAGCGGACACTTCAGCTCGTAAATCATCCCTTGGTCAGTCGTCGACTTGATCAGCTCAAATTCTTCCTCGGCGCAATCCGGGTCATCCCTCATGGCTTGAAGGCGATAAGAGGTTTCACTCCAGGTGGACTGAAGCTCAGACCGGCTGGAGCTCCATAATCTTGTTCCTCCACATCCGGTAATTGAGATTGCTTGATCTTCGCCTATCTTCTTGCACCCGCCTGGGACCGTCCCGATGACTTGAATGCACGAGACTTCAAGACCGCACCGTACGAAAGTATCGGTGATCAATGAGAGTTGGGATTCCTGACATTGAACCACCGCGCCTGCTTCTTCGTTGAAGAGGAATGACAAGATCTCTTCGGGCGTCTCGACTTTCTCTGGGAGCACCAATTCCAGGCCCAGCCGAGCCGCAAAGCTCATTTCAACACAACTGACAAACAAGCCTCCATCTGATCGATCATGATAGGCCAGAACCGGTTGGTGGGGATGCCGGTGAAGCTCAACACATCCATCCACAAAGCCTTTCAGATAACTACTGCGGTCAATGTTCGGTGAATCGGCGCCCAACTGATTGTGTACCTGTGCAAGGGCTGAGCCACCCATCCGACGTTTTCCATTCGAGATATCGACCAACACCAACAAGGTAGGCGAAGTGAGAGATTGCAGCTCTGGAGTCCAGGTCCTCTCAACAGATTCCACTTGACTAAACGCCGTCACAATCAGCGAGAGTGGCGCGGTGACCTCTTGAGTCTTCCCTTCCTCTTTCCACTTCATGGACATTGACATCGAGTCCTTCCCAACAGGTATGCTAACACCCAGGTCGGCACACAGCTCCATGCCGACGGCCTCCACGGCCTCATAGAGCCGTGCACCCTCGTTTCCATGATTGGCCGAGCACATCCAGTTAGCACTGAGCTTGACGTGTTCCAGTGAGCAAATGTCGGCGGCGACTAGGTTGGTGAGTGCTTCGGCAACGGCCATCTTAGCTGAACTAGCAGCCGATATCAAGCTTAGCGGCGACCTTTCGCCCATTGCCATGGCTTCGCCAGAAACGAGATCAAAGTCGTAGGAAGTCCTGGTCACTGCCACGTCCGAGACTGGTACTTGATAGGGGCCTACCATTTGATCACGAGTGACCAAACCAGTCACAGATCTATCCCCGATGGTGATGAGGAAGCTCTTGCTGGCAACTGAGGGGAGCTGCAAGACTCGGGTAGAGCAGTGATTGATCAGCTCTGAAATGGATATTCCTGGCGGGTGGTGAGACATCAAGTCGAGCTTCTTGAGCTCAGCGTGAGCGGTAGCCGAAACTCGATCGACTTTGGGAGGTTTTCCGAACAACGTGTCCATAGTGAGATGAACAGGAGTGTTGTTAAAGAGACGGTCAGTCACGATCAATTCTTGTAACTCGGTGGTGATTCCAACGACCGAATAGGGACATCGCTCTCGCTTAGCAATCGCTTCGAACCTAGCCAATGCCGCATCTGTGGGTGACAAGCCAATGACGTAACGTTCCTGGCTTTCGTTACACCAGATCTCCATCGGGCTCATCGTTTCATCATCGACTTTGATGTCCCGGAGTTCGAAACGGCCACCCAATCCACTGTCGTGGACTAACTCGGGGAGAGCATTGCTCAAGCCGCCAGCACCGACATCGTGAATGCTATCAATTGGATTGTCGTCTTCATCCAGGTTGACGCACGCATCGATCACCTCTTGACATCTCCGTTCAAGTTCCGCGTTTTCACGTTGGACTGAGGCGAAATCAAGTTCAGCTGAGCTAGCACCGGATTGAATTGAAGATGCCGCCCCTCCGCCCAGGCCGATCAGCATGCCCGGTCCCCCAAGAACCACGACCTTGGAATTGGGTTTCAACTTGCGCTTGTTGATCATTTGAGGTCTCACATTTCCGACGCCACCAGCAATCATGATTGGTTTGTGGAAACCGCGGATTTCCTCAGAGTTTGTTATCGCTGGAACTCGCTGAGTGAATGTGCGGAAATAACCACATAGGGCAGGTCGTCCGAACTCGTTGTTGTAAGCGCTCGAGCCTAGTGGGGCTTGAAGGATGATATCCAAACTACTTGCAATGTGGGATGGTTTGCCGAAATTCTCGACTTCCCAAGGCTGAGAGAAGCCAGGTATATGGAGATTGGAGACTGAAAAACCAGCAAGGGCGGCCTTTGGTTTGGAGCCACGCCCAACGGCACCCTCATCCCGGATCTCACCCCCAGAGCCAGTGGCAGCACCTTCGTACGGAGATACGGCGGTTGGATGATTGTGAGTTTCAACCTTTATGACATAAGGCATGGGTTCCGTTTGACTGGAGTAAGAATTCCCACTGAGAACTTGCGAGGCCTTATTAGGATAAAGGCCGAATCGGGGTACCGTAGGACCTTCAACTACGGCGGCGTTGTCGTGGTAAGCAGACAGTGTGTGCTTTGGTTGTGTGACATGAGTGTTACGGATCATGCTGAATAAGGTGCGATCACGAGCAAGACCATCGAGAGTCCAGTTTGCGTTAAAGATTTTATGTCGACAATGTTCAGAATTGACTTGTGCAAACATAAACAGCTCGACATCGGTGGGATTACGTCTGAGGGAAGCATCCGCGCCGGTAGTGAAAGCGTCGGCAAGGTAGTTGATTTCATCAGGTGCGAGGGCGAGTCCAAATTCTTCATTGGCACACTGAAGCCGGGAACAAGCGTACTCAAGACTTGATTTTTGATTGGGATCTTCAGGGAAGATGTTGATGGTCCTTAATGTTTTTCTGGGAACGGCTGCCCTTGTGTTTACTTGGGCTTCCTCGGATGATAGAAGGAATATGGAGCACACTTGCGTCATCCGATCATGGACAAGATGGCCGATGGAGTGGAGCCAGGCTTGGTCAAGCAGTTTGGTTTGGCCGCTGACAGTTTCAAGAAGATGCAGGCCGATGCGTTCAATCCGATGGACATGGTTAGAAAGCTGACAGATGCGGGCGATATCGGTAGCTTTGGATGACCAGGGCGGGATGGTACCAGGCCTGGAGCGGACAATGAAGGCATTCTCCATGACGGAGCCAAGGGGTAGGGACAAGATGTGGCCAATCCGCTCGCGAGAGCAGTCAGACAGGTGGACATTGCCATATTCTAACAAGCTGGCAAGAATTTGAGATGCGCGACTCGTGGAGTCTTTGAGAAGACTGAAAGATTGCTCAGATCGTGGATGGATGATGTGGATCCATGCTGAGTCAATTGCGCGGATGTCTGGATCAATGGATTGGATTGATTGCAGAAGTGCTGCCCGTTGATTGTCGGAATAAATCGAAGGGCCTGGATATAGTAGAAGCTGAGATACAAGAGGCGTGGGTTAGCTCTGGAATTCTTAATAATACTCTGACTTGATCCAACAACATACCATTTTTTAGATATAAAACCGAGTAATATGGGTATATTTATCCAGAGGCAATTGACTCGGTGATGGCTAAGACCTGAGGAGATTTGGCAATGACAATCTGCGATAGAAAATCAGTCAGTAGAACAATGCGAAGAAATGAGTTTTTAAAAATACATACGCAGGGCGTTGTCTGAGAACCAGGGTTTAACGGCAAGACGAGAAAGATAGACGACGGAATAAAATTCGAATCCTATATAAAAAGAATATTAAATTAGTAAGAAAGATGGCCGGCGATCGTACCCGAAGA